ATCGTACAGGGTTAGTTCAGGCCAAGTGCAGCTGCTCAGCTGGCAAGAGCGACTTGACAGAAGTTTCAGCCGAAGGAGCGCCTGGTGGCGTTGGTCCCGTCCAGAACATGACTGAAGCAGACATTCCGCATACATTCCAGCCCATGGCTTACTGAGAGAGCCAGCTGCGCCGCTGACAGCAATGTGTTGGAGGTGCTCTAGTGGCCGATAGTAGCCCTCACCGCCGACGCTTGACCTCTTCCCGCACACGCCAGCACTGCATGCAGATAAGGACTTTGGGCACAGCCGTCTCCAGGCACGCCACGCCAAACGTCAGTCCGATTCCTGTGCATTCGCCCTAAAGTGCATAGTGGCCCCACCCCTGTCGCCATACCCGAAGCCTGGTCCTCTAGGTGGCATGCGGCGAGACTTGAGCCAGACGCTCGCCGTGCTATATAGCACATAGTGGTTCGCTACAAAGAGACCGGCATGTAGCACCTGCTCACTCAAACTATTGCCTTCTTTTGCCATTGCGGGGTCCTCTCTTGCACGTCATCTACTAGATTTAAAACTCCCGTCCAGTTAAAGACTGAGACGTGCCCGATACAGCACAATAGACGTGCACCCTCTTGCATGTTGCACCAACGTCCTCATCAATATCTAGGCGAACCCAATCCAACTTGGCCCTAAGGAATTCACCGCAGCTCCCAAACAAACACACGACCCGTCGTCCTTCAAATACTGCCACTGTTCCTGCCATCTTTCATCTCACCAATATGCCCCACTCGGCCAACCATTCTACATCGACGGCAGCCAAGATGTCACGCCCATCGTCAACATCCACATCGAGCAATGCCTTTCCCAAACAAGCCGGCTCCGCTCTACTTTCACCCGAAAAAGTCGGAGAGCAACTGTCACCGTCACCCTCGCAATTCTCCTTTGCTTCTTCACCTCACTCAATCCAAGAAGCCGAGGCCGAACGAAACCGACCTTACAATACCGCCGGCCATGGACTGCGCCCCATGACATCGACGTCGCGGGCGCGGGCGCAGTTTTACGAGGACCAATTCTCCTACAAGGACGGCATCGTGTCGTCAGCACGCGAGCGCGTGACCAAGGACGCTCCCATCGTAGCCGAGCTGCGGACCAACGTTATCGTACGTTAAATTGCAGGCTGCGCGTTGTTGTTTCCACAAATAACTAACCTGGTGCAGATCAACGACGAATACACTCTAGTCACCGACCTCTCGCATCACCTCTCCATGCGCTATCAAAGACCCGAAACATCGATTATGATCACTGTCAATCACTCGGCCTGTCTGCTTCTCGGCGGATCCTTTGAGCCCACCTACATTCTCACCATCAACGCACTACCTGTGCAGGTGCAGCCCACGACCAATAAGCGCAATGCATCCCTCATCCAAACATTCATGGCTGAGTCAATCGGCGTCTCGCCTGACCGGGGCATCATCAAATTCATCCCCATCCCCGAAGAGAGTCTAGCCATGAACGGCATGACTATCCTAGGCGATATCGAGCGCATGGAGCGACAGACGGGCGAGGACTCGAATCACATCAAACGTGCCGTGACCAAGAGTTCACGCAAGTCTGTCGTCGCAAAAGCAAAGAGTAGCATGCAGCTCTCTCGTGGTCTGTCCAAAGCTGACCCGGTTCCAAGAGCAGTCGTCGCCGCTGAGCCTATTCATGATGGGCCACTTGATTCCGGAGTAGCCGTCAATGAGCAAGGCATGAATGAGAAGCCCAGCGACGTCAAGCTCACTAACAAAAAGTCCGAACCGATGCTTTCACTCATGGGCAAAAAGAACGCCTCGAGACCCCAATCGAGAGCAACTACAGCCGCACATCCTCCGCCGCCACCTATTCCTGCCTCCAGACCTACTACACCAGCAATTAGCAAGCGTAAGAGCTTCATGAGCGTCTTCCGTCGATGATCCTGTCCAACAACAACAAACCCTACATCGTTAGCATCGTCTAGCAGTATCCACTATCGGCATACCCGGCATCTTTTCCTCCTTCTTCCCCGATGGCATAGAAAAGTAACAGACGACGGAACGTGACCGTGACTGTGACCGTGTACTTTTTTTTCACGCTACACACGTAGGTCCGGGAACGCGCAACACAGACCGGACGCTTGTTTGTACACCCTCATCCGCAGCACATCTGTCAGATCATGCATATCGCGCTACACAACGGCGCCACATCATCGTCGTCCATTTTGCGACGACCCGGCATTAAACAAGGCGTCTTGGGGCTTTTTTTTTTCTTTCCCTTTTCTCTCAAAGAGGAAACAACACACATCGATTTGGTTCTCAGTACAGTTTCGGCACCAATATACCCTTTATGGCTTTTTTCTTTTTCGTCTTTTCCTTTGGTTACACGGCTCCTTCCAAATGGGCCTGGAAAAGGGCTTTACATAGAATTCTTAATGAGACGCACATGTTATATGCACGGTTAATATTCATATTGTTGATACACTGCTTGCACGTTCAATGGCCAGAGTCACGATATACACCGCTTTTTTTTGTGACAGTGATTACTGAAGAATTATCCCTCCCTTTGCATTCATTACCCAACTAACGTTATGAATGGTACGCCTGAACGTTCTGTTCGCCGATACAAACACACACATTTCTTCCTACCACTGCCTAACTGCCTAACTACCGGTACATACTCTACACCGACTCTCCGCGTCCGCGTCTGCCTTAGGCAACCACACTCATATCGCTTGCCATTCGGTGCGGGCATCAACGCCGAATCGGCCGGCCGACGATGATGCGGTAACCGCGTCTAGGAACATCGACCGGTCCGTCTGTGTTTTTCTCTCTCTTTCTCACTAACATGTTTATTTCGCCGGTTCATCGTCAGACGAGGCTTACCTTAGTCTAGCCCTAGAGCTGCGCGCTAGGCTAAACGCCATATCGCTGCTGTGTAAGCGAAGGGACCGCGCGACCAGACAGCGAGATTCCCATAGTGTATGTACGGTACACGTCTAGACCTGACGGGCTAATTGCTGCGCATCTAGCCCGCGAGATGGGTTGCCTGAGCGGACGGCACGTGTCGTGTGTCTTCAGGTTAGATCAGAACCAGGCCAGACCAGACATGAAGAACGCGACAAGGAATTCGCACACATCACCCACTCCCGTCCCCTCCCGTCCAGTCCAGCAAAACTCCCTTAGCGCATGCTCTTCCCACACTAACCGTCTCCATGTATGCGCTAGTATGAATTAAGGTTTACCGGCTTTTCTTCTTCAGCTCTCCACGTTTTTTTGGGCGAGCGCGGGCGGACGCGGCGCGGCGCTTTAGGGGGTCTGAGCGGGGGTGGATCTGGGATTATGGGTTATGGTAGGAGGTTAGTCTCGGATGGTTTAATGTTGGTCGTGATACTTACTGGCTGTAGCTGTGTATTCGCATCACATGCTCTCTATCATCTCTTCTTCCCCTACCTATCCATCCTCCGCCTTCTCCGTCTTCCTCGCTGCTGACACTCCACCCCCCCTCGCTCGCTCACGCACGGCTTCTTTCTTCGGAAATTCTTCATCGGGGCCTGGACACGGGTGGTGGGGACGGCACAGCACGAGAGCACACGAGACGAGACGAGATGTAGAAACACGAGATCCTCTTTTCTTTTCGCGTGTGTGGCGTTTTGGGGACCAGGGGCGCGAGTGGTACATAGGTAGGCCTAGATTGCTTAATGTGTGGGTACGGTACGGTAAGGCTGCTGCGACTGGTGGTGGGCCTGAATTACGGTACTTACAGATGCTTACTTACTTACGCGGTAAGGTAGGGTAGGGGTAGGATGCTTGTACGCGATACGATGCAATGCGCAACATCCACGTTACTTACGTGTCGTCGTCGTCGTCTTTGCATGTCATGCCTGTATTCAGCAATCCTCGTGTTGTATCATCATTTTGTTTTTGTTTAATTACTATGTTGGTGTTTTGGTGTTGCTTACGCTGTCAAAATTCGCGATCGAAGAGAAACCCCTAGCCATGCTTACGCTTGGTCAGGGATAGGGATTGTAACGTACATTACACGAGGGAGATCGTCGCTGAGATGATGTCAGAGGGGGGAATGATGGCCATGGTTATTTCGGCGGCTTTTCGTGATCGTGATGATGATGGTGAGGGTGAGACTTACGTAGGTTTTGTACTTAGGGGGGTGGATGTGTGGACCTGGTTGCTGGGATGGCGTTGTGGGGCATGTTTGAGGGGTGGGAGGCATGGCATGCGTTCTGTTGCTTAGTTATGTGTTGTTGCACCACCACACCCACATTCCAACTCGCAACTGTTTCCTACTAATCAAGATATATACTAGATTCCGTCTCCCAATAACATCTACCGTATACAAAACCATATTTCTATAACCACCACCCTCACAGAACAACACCCCGACCGGCGCTCATTCCTACTCATTCCTACTCGTTCCCGACTTGTCTTTTCCTCCTCGTGTCCATGTCACCGGAGTTTTTTTTTCCATCGTAGTCAGTCGCAACCTCGATCTAAATATATGCGTGCATGTTCTATGATAGGACCGGGTTAAAAGACCGGGTAGGGTGAAGAAGTTTGTTCGTGATGATCGTTCGCGTGGTGTTTCAGGACTGCTTTTTCGCGCGCCCTTCTCTCCTACTCACCGCTCACGTGGAAAAGAAGACATATTATTTTTCTTGGTGTGAAGGGTGTGTGAAGGGAAAGATAGGTTGGTAAGTGGGGTGGGGTTGTGAAAGAGTTGCGCGCGCGTGTGTGTAGAGAGAGTGGGGCTGTACAAGGGGGGCTCTTCGTCCTTTGTTTGTAATGAACAAGGAGTCTCGTTATGCTGTCTGCGGGATAGCTTATCATGTAAAGTCGATCGCACGTCCACTGTGGAAACGCGAAGAATTCTTGTTAGGTACGTATCACATTTTTGTATATCACCGTCATAAAGCCTTGCAGAAAGTTTAGTTCTATCATTTTTATTTTTTGGTTAGTTATTCGCAAAATCATCCCCTATCCTCTTGGGCAGTGTATACACACATAAACACTCAACCCACCAACCTCTCACTCACCTAATCAACCCAAAACCAATTGCGAGGCATCGCGACAGTGAGGTTTTGAAACTCTGCAACCTTGCCCAGCAACAAGCTACCACGGTTAGAACAGTCCTTAGCGACTACCTTGCGCACATATGTACAAAAAGGTTGCCAAAGCCTAATCTTGCGACGTGCCAGTAATTCTTCCACTGCCTCCTTGTTGGCCTGTATCTGCAAACGAGCCACTTTCGCCATATGAGCCATGATAAAACGCTTAAACAAAACACGCCTGTTTTTAGCGACATCTCCAACGTTCGAATGGTACAGGACAAGGGTCTGGTGAAGTGGCCGCCAGAGCTGGAGCTTGCTCTTGCGCTTCGTAACTGCCTTGGTGAGAAGGTCGACTTCCCGCATCCAGGCCCCACGGCGCATCTTGGACCACCGCTTCTTCACCTTGAGGAAACGGACGGAACGGACGTACTCCATGGCAAAGAAGATCAGGCTGTCAAGCTCCTCTGAAGGCGCCTTCTCATGGCAGAAAGTCACATTTGCAAGCAAAATCTCGTCGCTGAAGGGGTTGATAGAAGGCCAACGCTTGGGATCCTCGGGCTCATCGGGCTCATCATCGGAATCGGAATCAACCGAAGAGAGGGGGGACTGTACATCTACAGAGATGGGAGAGGTGCCGGAACCTGCCTCGTCATCTGCAGTAGGCACAGAGGCGTTGAAATTCATGTGTGCAATGCCCATATCCTCGAGCATGTGGGCAAACTCGTCCAGTCCAGCCTTCTGTTCCTCGGTGATCCAGGAATCTGGGTCATCATCAATTGATATCGGGTCAGAATCGTAGTAATCTGTATGATCAAACGACATGTCGCGACTGTTGTCAACGGGGGTCGGGTAATACATATCAATAGACATCATCTCGAGCTCGGTAGGAGTCTGCGTAACCGGGCCAGCCTGGTTAGTCATTGGGGAGATGTCGTTCTGCATATTCGCCAGGAGTTTCGGGAGTATGCTGATCTCTGTGTAAGTGAACTGGAAAGCCATGCTTCTCTATGCTTCTTAGTATGAAGAGCTTTTATACGACCAGAAAAATAATTCCCAGTGGCATGATGTATACACAATTGCAGGTACGCATGTATCTACATGTATTCACTATGTATGTTGAGTCTAGCACGTGAAATAGGGTGGAAACTCTGTGTAGTCGCAGTAGATTCGTCCAAGGTCTATACGGCTACAATGCCCAGTGAATTGGATCCTGGCGACGAAGAGCTTTTTACCATGGATGGCGCATCTGAACATTCTTTTCATGCTCATGCTAGTCTCAACCACTATGGATTCTACAAGGGAGTATTCCTTTCCATGCATCTATGCGGTATGGGGATCTGTAATGTCTACGCCTTGTAACGGGCTGAGCCTCGAGTCACATGACTAGGCTGCTAGCCTAGTCGCTTCCCCGGCAACGTGAGGGCCGTGCGCCAACCCAAACAAAGCAGGCTCGCCGCTTGCGTCTTACCTTCTTTCTTCATCTTGACTGTAAATAGCATCTGGACTAGGTAGCTGGAATACAGTCCCTACAGACCGTTCACATACAGTCAAGATCAAGAAGAACACGCAGAATACGCAGAACACGCAGAACACGCAGAACACGCAGAATACGCAGAATACGCAGAATACGCAGAACACGCAGAACACGCAGCAACCAAAGCACCGCTATAATGAGCTCCCCCGGGGATACTGACATGACGACGAACGATTCGAACCAGCTGTTACAGTCGCTACTACAGAGACTTGAAGACATGAGCACTAGGATGGAGAGGCTGGAAGCACCATCGCACGAGCTACCTCAAACGCCTGGTCACAATACAGACGCCACCACTGATCCAACGCCAACCTCCGAGACTTCGAACACATCTGTGCCTATAACCCCAAAGCCGCGGCACAGCTTACCCCACCCGCCTACGTTTGGTGGAAACAAATCACAATGGCGAGGATGGAAGCTAGAGATGGAGGGCAAGATCGAAGAAGACGCGCAAGCTATTGGAAGCCTAAAAGCTCAGCTACGCTACGTCTACATGCGTCTTGATGGGGCAGCGAAAACCAACGTTACAACATACTACGAGATACAAGTTAAAGAAGAATCGCCAAACCCTTTCAAGCTGCTTGACCGCCTTGAACTCCTCTACGGCGAACGAAATCGGAAGGAGAAAGCCATTCAGAACCTCTACTCTATACGCCAGAAGGACGACGAGACGTTTATTTCCTTCTATCCACGGTTTGAGAAAGAGATGGCCAACGCTGACGCAGAAAGCTGGCCTGAGCATACGAAGATATCCTACTTACGCAACGCATTAAGTGGTAGGATAAAGGATAGGCTTGTTGGTACATCAGGAGCAGAAACAAGCACATACGCAAGGTTCGCTCAGAAGTGTGTAGATCTTAGCAACGACATGGAGTTGTTCGGCCAATGGACGAAAACAACCCGCCGTTACGGTAGCCGAACTGCTGAAAATGCACTAACCTATGAACCACCAGCAAAATCAAATAATGCCACGCTCACAGCAGTTTCCCCTGAAGACATGATGGAATGGGAACCTACGCAGCCTACAACTACCCAAGTGAACGCTGTCGGCCTCCGCGGCAAGACCAACATGAATGGATATCCATCTAGGCGTCCCGAAGACCGAGAACTTATTGGAAAACGAGCAAAATGGGTCAACCAAGAGGAAATCGATGCTCGACGCCAGGAACGACGCTGCCTCCGATGCGGCCGCAACAATTGCCGAATAGCTACATGCCCGTTAGCAGCCGCTCTACGACCAACTCACGTTAGCGTCAAGACAGCAAAGAGTACTGTGGTCACCAAGGCAGCTGTAGAGGAGGAAGATCCAGAAGACTCCGAAGCAGAGCAATAGGAACACGCGGCAGCTCAGAAAGAATGGAAAGAGACCGGAAAGCAAAAGATGGATAGCGATCCCTTTGTACTGGACGTTAGACTTAATGGAACTGACTTTGTCACTGGACTTGTTGACTCAGGTTGCCTTTGCTATTCTGCCATTAATGAACAACTCTTTCGATCTCTGAGACTGCCATCAATCAAGATAGCCCCGCGCCAGCTAGAGGAAGCAGCTGGGAAGAACGCAGAACCAAGTACTGTCCTAGATACAGTTACTTACGCCTCGATAGACATAGACGGCCACCAGCAGAAACGCGTCTTCTTCTACGTTGTACCTGGCCTAACTTACGACGTGATCCTAGGAAAGCCCTGGTTAGAAGATGCCGACGTCACAATTTCGGCCAAACAAGGCTGCCTAGATATCGGCGCGTCAAACATCCGCGCATGGAACCACAAGAAAGCGTCATACAAGCCACCACTAATGAAGGCTACTCAGGTGATGGCTTCCGCATTCATGGCGGAGGTGAGAAGAAGCCGTAGGAAGAACAAAGGAGACGGTATTGCGCTCGACACTGGACTGTTCGCTGTTTCCATCGCCGACATTGAGAAAGCTTTGAAACCGCGCAAACGATCCGATCCAAAGACGAAGCTCCCACCCCAGTACCACCAATGGCTGAAGGCTTTCGACCATTTCCTAGCTGAGAAACTTCCCCCACATCGTAAAGGCGTTGATCTCCACATTGAGATTGAAAAGGATCAAGACGGAAACGAGAAGACCATTCCATGGGGTCCGCTCTACGGCATGAGCCGAGAAGAGTTACTAGTGCTTAGGAAAACTCTCACCGAGCTGTTAGACAAGGATTTTATCCGCGCAAGTAACTCTCCCGCAGCTGCACCCGTCCTGATGGTCAAAAAGCCAGGAGGGGGCATCCGATTTTGCGTTGACTACCGAGGCTTGAACAACATCACCAGGAAGGACCGTTACCCTCTGCCTCTATTCACAGAAACACTGAGAAATGTAGCTAAAGCTAAATGGTTCACAAAACTTGACGTTATCGCAGCCTTCCACAAGATCCGTGTGGCCAAAGGAGAAGAATGGAAGACAGCTTTCCGAACAAGATACGGCCTATTCGAATGGCGGGTTGCTCCCTTCGGACTAACAGGAGCACCAGCCGCATTTCAACGCTACGTAAATGGTGTTCTACAGGATTACCTTGACGACTTTGTTTCAGCCTACGTTGACGACATCTTAATCTACTCGTCAGGATCGCTTCAGGATCACAGAGAGAAGGTTGGAAAGGTTCTTCAACGCCTTATAGACGCTGGACTGCAGATTGATATCGACAAGTGCGAGTTCGAGACTAAACGAGTCAAATACCTCGGGTACATTGTGGAAGCAGAAGTGGGCATTCGAGTTGATCCTGAAAAGATTATCGCAATCCGCGAATGGGCTACACCAACGTCAGTTAAGGCTATCCGAGCATTTATTGGTTTTGCCAACTTTTACCGAGTTTTTATACCAAACTTCTCGGACATTGCTGAACCGCTTATCAACCTAACTAAGAAAGAGATGGTTTTTCATTGGGACGAGGCTTGCAATCAAGCATTTGAAACGATTAAGGAACTTCTCATTACAGCACCAATACTCGGCCATTTTGATCCAGAGAAGGACACCTTGGTAGAAGCCGACTCCTCAGGACATGCAACTGGCGGCCTATTGCTGCAGAAGGACAAGAACAACAACTGGCAACCCGTTGCCTACTACTCAAAGAAGCACTCACCAACAGAGGCCAATTATCCAATTCATGACAAGGAGCTTCTAGCTATTGTTCGTTGCTTAGAAGCATGGGCTCCTGAACTACGTATGGTTAGGAAGTTCACAGTTCTGACGGACCACAAGAACCTTCAATACTTCTACCGCGAACGACAGCTGTCTGAAAGACAAGTACGTTGGTCAGAGTTTCTCTCACGATTCGACTTCTCCCTGGAATGGAAACCTGGAAAGACTATGGGAAAACCTGACGCCCTGTCACGACGAGAACAAGACCTACCCGCCAACTACGACGATGAACGAATACGGTCTCGATTTATCCGTCTTTTCCAGAGCAAGCACTTGCAGAGTGTTCAAATCCAGTCCCTGTCGTCCGAGGAGATTGACTTCACAGAAGAGATACGCATGTTTGAGGACCAGGACATGCAAAATCTCTGGCACCGAAGCCGCCAAGAGGATGAGCTTTATCAGGAGCTCACTACGCTGGTAGCAAACAAGGAGCGGAACCTCCCTACCAAACTTCAGAAGGAGAAGTCAGTGAGTATAGCAGAATGCACCCTGGACGAGAGAGGCCTGTTGCGATTTCGAGACCGGATATGGATCCCTGACTGCGAACCACTTCGCACACGAATTATTCAAAATATTCACGACTCGCATATCACCGGCCATCCTGGACGAGATCTTACCTACTCAATCTTATCAAGGCAGTTCTTCTGGTCAGGTGTAGCAAGCGACGTGCGACGCTTTGTCCGTAACTGCGAGATTTGCGGGAGGAATACGATATGGAGAGAGACAAAGAAGGGCCTCCTTAAACCGCTACCGATCCCAGAACGTATATGGGGAGAACTTTCAATCGATTTTATTACGGACTTGCCGCCATCTGGACGCGATGACGCAACGAACTGCATGGTGGTCACTGATCGGCTGACAAAGGGAGTTGAACTGGAAGGCATGCACGATATCTCGGCAGAAGCAGTAGCACAACGGCTTTTAGAACGGCATTACCCTATTCATGGTATTCCAACGGCAATTACGAGCGATAGAGGACCACAATTCGTCAGCGATCT